TCACCTGACTCTAATGGAATGAAGTTTTATCTTGACTTTTTTAAGTGCTGTGGTGCTTTAATTCCTAAATCTACTGTATACCTCCCAAGACAGTCCTCCTGCCCTAACATGCGCTATGGCCAGTGTTGGTAAGGCAGAAATCCAGCCATGTTTATAGCACCCTCTACACATAAATCTTGCAGTTTCTCAATGTTAATCATCTATTGTTACACCATAAGACCAAAAGTTTGTGGGCCCCTGACCATCACACCTACCAATATGTCTAAAAGTATGTGGACGTCCCGCTAGCCAAGTAAGGGGTACTGTTAATGCTTTAGCATACAAATGCATTTTAGACTCTTCGAACGTTTGGCAACAGTTTAGAGAAGGCCCTTTTGATGCTGCAGCATGACTGTGATCCTATGCACAAACCCAGCTCCTTAAAGACATGGTTTGAAGTGTTTGGTGTGGAGAAAATTGCATGGCCGACACAGAGCCCTGACCTCAACTCTACTTAACATCTTTGGGATTTATTTTACTGCAGATTGTGAGCCAGGACTTCTCATCTAATATCACCTGTCCTCACAAATGGTCTCTTGGCTGATTGGGCAGAAATTCCCACAGAAACCCTCCAAATCTCAAGGAAAGTCTCCCCAGAAGAGTGAAGGCTATTATAGCTACAAAAGGGAGCTAACCTCGTATTATTGGTCATGGTTTTGGAAAGAGATGTCCAACAATCTCATACAGTTGTAATAGTCAGGTGGCCACATCTTTTGGCCATATAGTGTACTTTAATAGATTCTGTTGAGCAGGACTCTGGCAAACTTGCACCTACCCTAACGTCACAATGTACTCTGGAAATGCACATTCCTAATGTGACCATTGGTACACTATTTTCTCAGAAATGTATCTTGGTATAAGTCATTTTGAGAATTATTTACACAGGTACACAGCGATCTGCCAGGTTTTACCATCTGTTCAGTAACTGTTAAGGATGCAGGAAGCATGGCAATGCATCTTAAAACACTCTGTTGGCCTTGAAACCATTAGGTAGGCACCTCATACTGGTTTATATAGTTTTCTCAAATATTGTTCCAGGTTCTAAATTTGAGAACCTGTTCTGTAGGTCAGCTCCTGCAGAACATCTCTCTGCTGACTTGTCACAAGAATTCTTACAGCACTCCATTGCATCGGGTTTTTTGCTTTTAGTCTAGAACCAAAATCACTAAGATTCAAATCACTTTTCTTCGGCTTATTTGTGAATTACCCTGTAGGAATCAAATCGCTTTTCTGAAAAATATTCCATATATGTGGATATTTTAGGGCCATGGTAGAATTAAAGGGCACCTGTAGTTTTGAGGTGAACAATACACCTCTGTTCTATTGATCTTCAGCAACCTCTTTGCAGCCACTTTTTGTCTGTATGTCATTTCTCAAGGTGGAATTCCTGATGGTGACAACAGGGATGAAAAATTGAAATTTTTTCCTAATGTCATTTTGCTGCAACAAAAATTTGTCCATTTTGGAATCGGAAATTCGGGTTCGTTTGCCCTCGCTATTTCTGTAATTCGGATACATCCTACTCTGAATTTTTGTCCAAATCATTGACAGGGATGCATTTCCTTGTAGAAAAGCAAAAAGCATTGGAGTCATATAGGAAGGCAAAATGAAGGTGGCATTTAAGGCTTTATTTTTTTTTTTCAATTATTTTTTGCGTATTTAATTTATTTAAATTTTTTTACAGTAAGGAAAAAAAGGAACACAAATAGTATCATATGAAATGTAACGAGACAATACACCGATCAGCCATAACATTATGACCACTGACAAGTGAAGTGATTAACATTGATTATCTCATTACAATAGCACCTGAAGTGGGTGGGATATATTAGGCAGCAAGTGAATATTTTGTCCCTGAAGTTACCTGGGGAAGAGATGGCACCAGGATGCACTATGGCTAGCTAGTGCAGGCAGTGTTATGTTTTGGCCAATGTTCTGCTGGGATAGCTTGGGTCCTGCCATTGATGTGGATGTTACATTGACACGTACCACCTACCTGAACATTGTTGCTGACTAACTACCCCCCTACATGGAAATGGCATTCCCTGATGGCAATGGCTTCTGTCAGCAGGATAATACGACCTGCAACACTGCAAAAATGGTTCAAGAATGGTTTGACAACAACAAGAAGTTTGAGGTATTGACTGGAGCCACCAAATTCTCCAGATCTCATTCCAATCCAGCATCGACGGGATGTGCTGCTGGAAAAACAAGTCCCATCCATTGAGGCCCCACCTCGCAACTTACAGATCCGCTACTGATGGCTTTGTGCCAGATACTTCAGCATACCTTCAGAGGTTTAGTGGAGTCCAGTGGAGTCCAACCTAAATACAATTCAGACAGACTTATTACAGTACCAGCACAGCTAAATTTCTAGTAGCCACTCCACAGAAGGTAGTAGGGGCTACATGGGTTACAATAACTGTGGGTCTTCATTGTGGTAAATATCCCTTTGAAAGGAAATGAAGGGGGATATGTTTTGTTGGCTAGTCTACTTGAATGTCCCCCTGACCATAATGGAATAACATTGTATCTGGACTACAGTAATTGGTGTGGTGCTTCAATTCCTACATCTACTGTGTCCCCCTTGTACAAAGCTCTGGTGGCATAATCACCAGGAGTGATTACTCACGGTTTGCCAAAAGCCCTGTACAGCATGGGCACGTTGAAGAAAAGGATGTCTATTTTACCTGCGAATACAGAACTGCATTCATTTTTGTCTTTTATCTCTGACCTGAGTTTATGTTTATTTTAGTAATTATGCATCGTAAAGCAGTAAATGTTTAACAAAAGATTTGAACAAAAACTGTAAAAAAAACTCTGGTATTCTAAATGCAAGGAATGATTTAAAAAAAACAAATTTTTGTTAAGTGGTTGCAGATGTTCATACTACCAGTAGATTAAAAAAATCATCCAGGTGTGCCTGCTGTTAAATGAATAGATGGCCTGTTTTGGTCTCACCACCAGATCTGTGAATGCCAGTGTCTATCAGCCCTTTAGGCCATGTATCACAGTCTGTGACCCCCAGCTTCTTCCAGTCTGTGTGTTGGTTAGATCAAAGGTAGGCAACCTCCTCACCCCAGATGTTGTGGACCACCAACACTCAGGCATTGCAAATCAATGATAGGCACATGCATGACTCCCTGAGGAATAGATATGATGGCATTTTTAGTTTCAGCACAGCCCGAGGTTGCCTACCTATGGTTTAGATCCTTGGTTCTCAACTGGTGGGTCGTGACCCAAAAGTGAGTCGTGACCCCGTGTTCAGTGGGTCACCACATGCCTTCCACTTTTCTAGGTGAGAGGCTCCTCTGCCTCCCTCTAGCGCAGCACTGTCAGTTCTCGCTTCAAGCAGCCATTCAAATTATGCCCGAGTGTCAGATTGAGGTGGGATGGGGGTATGGCCAGGAGGGAGCTCCATCCATACGTGTAATGCTTATAGCTCCCTCGCATGTCCTGTAGAGGTGCCTGCACTAGAGTGACATCACATTCTGGCTCCCGGCACCTCTACAGGGCACACAAGGGAGCTGTACAAGCAATGTACATATGGATGGATCTCCATCACAGCACAGCAGTAGACATGTGCACTGCCAAAAAATTCGTTTAGCTTCGTTTTAAATTCGGATTTGTGTTATTACGTTTTTCAGGATTCGGGTGTGAAAGTCAAATGAGATTACGCAGGTTGAGAACCGCTGGTTTAGATGTATTACAACATATAGCCTACTCCTTGCAATAGAGCATTGGTGGCTTCCGGTTCCGGCCCCTGATGTAGCGGATGCAGGGTGCAGAGCTCCCGCATAGCCAGGACTAATCTATATATAAAATAGGACCTCAACAGCGCGATCTAGCCTGCCGACAGCCTGCTCTGCTACCTGTCCCCTCAGGAACATGGACAAGTTCCTTGCAAAACGCCGAACGGGTCCGAGAGGCAAAGGCACTCCTGTCCGGGGAAAGCGGCCTCAAACACATGCGACATGCGGGTTTCGAGCGCCTCTTCGGAGGAAGACATGCCGGCGCTATCAGACCACGGTATGATTGCAGCAGCTGTGGCCAAACTACTTCGCCCCTCCATCCAAGACGCAGTCAACAAGGCGGTATTCAAAGGCATACAATCCCTGCGCCACGACCTCCTGAATCAAGCGCACAATGCTAGGGCACACATAGCATCCATGCGCACAGAGGTAGGGACTACGACATCTGACCCGAAACACATAAACCAAATTTTTGAACACTTCTATGGAAAACTATACTCGGCTACCCCTGTAAACAAGGAGCTAGGTGACCTCTTTTTAAAACCGCTCTCCTTGCCTAAAATAAACTGCGAAGATCTCTCATATTTAAACGGAGACATTTCCTTGGAGGAGATCCAGAACGCTCTCAAAATCTCCTCCAATGGCAAATCACCGTGTCCAGATGGCTACACAAATGAGTTTTATAAGTTACTTCAAGAAGAAATTTCCCCCACGTTGCATGGGGTATTTAACGAAATTTGGCAGGGAGGAGAGTATCTGAGAACGGGCTCAGGGGCGTATATTAGATTAATACCCAAAAAAGACAGGGACCCGATTCTTCCAGGCTCGTATAGTCCAATTTCCCTAATCAACACAGACGCAAAGCTGCTGTCAAAAATCATAGCGGATAGGTTGGCAAGGCTGCTACCGAAATTAATATCTCCAGCCCAAGTGGGCTTCATCAAAGGCCGCTCGGCGGTATCTAACATACGCAAACTGTTATCAGTCTTGGAATACACAAAGCACCACCCAACCTCATCTCTAGCACTTATATCTATAGACGCCGAAAAGGCATTTGACAGCATACAATTCTCGTGGCTATATAGAGTACTGGAGGAAATGGGGTTTTCAGGCCGCTTTAAGACCTTCCTAGCAGCAATGTATGCCTCTCCTAGCGCACGTATTTGTACTACTTCTGTTTAACTACTGGGATAACCCTGCTGACTTCAGTAGATATCATAGACACTGGATCTCTATCGTTCTGCTGGCTGCTAGGAGAGGTATTATGAGAGAGTGGCTAGCTCCCACCCCTCCTACCATTCAGGGACTGCGAACAGACCTTCTCCACTTACTTAATTTGGAAAAACTAGACGCAGAAATGCAATTGATGGACGATAAAAAAATGTCCTCCCTATATGACAGATGGTTGCCATTTATCAATCTGACCTTTACACTAGCTGAGAAAGAGAAATTTCTATCTCCATTTAAATACACCTCTAGTGCAATCTTCGAACAGCAGAGGGGAGCGAACTAAAAACTAAAACTGAATCAGGCTCTTATGTCCACTTGTTTTCAGTTTCGACACATCCAGCCACTAAGGTCGGAATTTCATGAGCTCCAAAAATATAGTGTAAACACGTCAGGAGAAACAACTCCAGTTCTTCTTCATTAGGGCTACGACACAACATTGGGGCCGCATAGATAGCGAGTGAGATTGGGGCAAAACGAATCTCATCTAGGAACATCCGCCTGCTCCGAATTCTCAGTTCCCCCATCGCTTATATGAAGGGGAAGGTCAAAATAAATAGCTGTGTCGGGCGCAGAGAGGTCATGGTCCCCTAACCACGCAATACCGCAATTAAGTATTTTGTAGCCTCAATGCATATCAAAGACCATTGGGATGTATAAAGTTATAGTGATATACAGTTTTAAAATGTTGCGTAACTTTACTCGATGTAACGTACCAAAACCCATGTATACATAAATGTAAATGTTTTTGAATGAAAATAAAAATGTTTTGAAAAAAAAAAAATATAGAGCATTGGTGTTCACTTAGGGGTCCTATAAGCTTTTTTACATGCTCTCCACCTGTAACCGATTACATTTGTATGGTCATTGGTCACTTTGTATGCTCGGTATGTTACACACCATTACATTACCACTGCCAGCCTGAACCGTTGATATAAGGCAGGATGGATCCATGCTTTCATGTTGTTTTGACCAAATTCTGACCAGACCATTTGAATAGTTGTGTGTATGTGTGTATATATATTGTATATACTGTATATATATATAGCCAGCGCCCAGTGACCATATGTACACTCATTAACTAAAATTAAACTAAGCCAAATAATCTCTTACACGAACAATTTTAATAAGCCATATTTCCAATTAAAACCAAGAAGTGCAATGGCATAGTGGTTAGTGCTCTTGGAAAGCTTGGGGTCCCTGGTTTGAATCCTTCATTCTTGACCAAGATTATATCTATTTATAATGGTCTTTTCCTGTGCACTCTCTCTACCTCAGGGACTGGTGGTCCCTGTTACTTTTGGGCTCCTCTCTTCCCCCTCTCCCTCCATGAATCATTGGTCCGGTGGGATTAGTTGCTGGGCCCTCCATTGATCTCCCCGGAAAGACCCTTATGCATATAATGTGCTGCA